TTTTAATATAAATATTTATTAAGTTAAATATGATTTTATTGAGATTATATTATATTATATTATATATAAATTATTATATTATATTATTATGTATATATAAGTATATGTTATATGTTGAGATTATTAAATATATAAATAATATTAAAATTGATAATATTTGTGTCATATAAATGATTTTATATGAGTTTAAAAAAATATTATCGATTTTAGCGAGCCTAAAATAAGTTATTAAAATTAACATTCTGAATAATCAATGAAAAATCAATAAAATATTTTATCTATTCTAAATAATTACTGAAAATGATTTTTCATGAATAATAAAATTACTATAGATTTTTTTCCATCAAACATTCTTCTATTCAAATTAGAAGAAACAAAAAATTATAATAAAAATAAAAAATAAAATAATACACTATAGCAAAACTATTTAACAAAAGGAATTAAAATATCCAATATTATAAAATTTATATTTTATTAAAAATAATAAAGAAAACGTAAAAAAATAATAAGATGCATCTTATTACTTGTTTTCTTACAAAAGTGCAAATATATGAATATATCTGTAAGGAGAATCACAATAAGATTTTTTAGAATTTGTTGAACAATATTAAGAATAATTTTATTCTATATTATTGAAAACAAAAAATAAATTCCATCGAATCTAATTTAAATAGAATATAATTCTTTATTTCATAAATTTTTATTTAAAAAAATATCAATATAGATATTATAAAATATAGAATATAAAATATTATATAACATATAAACGATAAGATTATAATATATCAAAATTCATATTAAAAGGATAATTATTATAAAAATGATTTATTATTGTATCAAAACTGAAATAATGATTCATCATTATTAAATTCTTTTTTAAAATACAAATGTGTTTCATTCATCAAAAACAAACAATTAACACTTGAGAAATATTGAAAATTGATTAATTGCTAAAAAATAAATATATAAAGGAATGTGATACTATTTATAAAAGACTTCGATATCATCAGAGAATTTAAAATCAAGATAATCTTAAAATTAAATTTCAAAATCTAAATTAATCTAATATTTAAACTTATATTATCGATTTGAATCGATAATAGAAGATATATCAAATTAATGTAAAAATTCTATAAGAAAACCATGTTTAATTTTTACATTAAGTTTTCTAATTAAAAATATATATAATATATCAAAAAATATATATAATCAAATAATCAACATTATTATTTATATTATTATATTATATATATTCTTCATTCAGTAAGTTTAATAAAATACAATTTTTATAGAAAAAATAATTTTAATATGAGTCATATATAATCCGACATTATTCATTGATACTGCTACTAAACAATCCATAAAGTTAAATATAATGAGAATAAATATCTCATGATCTCAATAATAATGAATATTAATTTTATCAAAAATACTATATTTTTTGATTATTACAAAAATCTCTTTCTGTTTTTTTGAATTCTAGCATTCTAATGAATTATAATTTAAGTTTTTTAATTTTAATAAGTCGAAACTTCACAATTAAATTATTTAATAAATAATTCAATTAATTCTTGAAAATCCATCGTTATTTAATAATTTTATCAATTTAAAAGCATGCAATAATCACGCAGTTTATTTTTACACTTCATCGCCAGTTCATTATTTTCGTTAAATAATCTAATAGTATAATAAATAATAATCTTATCTATATAACTTTTCTTTCCAATCATTCTAAACAATAAAAAATATTTAATGTTTATATCTTATGATGTTTTATAGCTTAAATATCAGCTTAATTAATCGTGATTTTATTTAGTAAAAAATTTTTTTTATTAAAAATTTTATACTATCAATCATTTAATCAAAAAAATATTAAATTATTTTATTCTCTCTTCAGAAAATTTTCTGTTTATCATTTAATTTTTCTTTTACATAAGTTATAATCTCGTGAAAAATATTAATCATTTAATATCTAATTCAATGTTATTTGAATTATACTTCGATCGGTTCTATGATTTATTAATAGGATTAATTTCAGAGTCAATATGAACTACTTATTGCATTTATTTGGTTACTTTATACGTATCATACGACTGTCCAGCTAACTAATGCACTGTATTATATCGAAGACTATATATTCATTTTAACGGCACTTTCATTCAATTTGTCGTTATGATATTACACGTGCAGAAATTACATGCTTTACACAACATAATATTAGTATTATATACAATATTAACCACTATAATTAATACCTCTCTGATATGTTTATCTATACAAACTGAAAAATATGTATTTTTTAAAATATCTATTTTCTTTAATATCATAGTTGAAATAGATATAAACATTCTTAATAAACATTCTAATAGAAAATATGAAATCTAGACAAAAGTCATTTCGAATACAAAAATAATAATTTCGATAATAAAAATAACAATAATTTCGAAAATAAAAATAAAAAATATATAATAATTTTGAATATAGAAAATAATAGAAAATAACAAATAAATATTTTGAATAATGAATAAAAAAAAAAGTTTAAATCAAATATATTCAAAAATAAAATATCCTAATCAAATAATTAATTAATAAATAAATAATAAATAAAAATTCACTCAATCATTATATTCAATATATTTTTCCATAATTATATAACATTATATATTATACATGTCTTTTATGTTTAGATAAATTGAATGATTAAATCAAAAATTGCATTGATAAAGCAATAAATATTTAAAGCAAAAAATGTTGATTTTTAATGATCATATACAATGCATTTTGTTATATTTTTTTTAATTATGAATCTCCGATTTTATAAACATAGAAAAATATTTAATAGCAAGAGCTATTCTTTTTGTTTAAAATATTAAGATTTTGAGTTTAAAACACGTTACTGTTTATTCTAAATATATTTATATTTTTATCAATTGAATATTTAAATTTTAAATTATAGATACGCTTTAAAAGATCATAAATAATATAAAAAAAAAATAATCATCTCTTACTAATTCAATTCTAATATTAATTACTATATTAATAATTCACTCATACATGATTTGTTATATAAAAATTAAGGATCACATGTATTATTAAAAAAAATTCAAATAAAGAATTTTTAGGTTACCTGATTTTCCAACTCTGGGGCCGCCGAGGACGACCACCCTGATCCTGTTCACGTTTGTCATCAGACGTGGATCTTAAGTATCATTCGAATCGCGCTTGCACATCATATGTTCCGAATAACACTTTATGCGTTATTTTCCACTATATCTGCAGTTTATTTTGTTTTAATCATATTAAAATCTAATCATCACATATATGACACAAAAAAATAATTATAATAAATGTTTATAAATATAAACACAATACTGAGTGATTTTCAAAAATTATAATTTTTTATAAACTATAATTTATTAGCATTCATATATAAAAAAAATTGTTATCAATTTTCATAAGTTGATTATAAATATTTCTTTTGAATGCATATATACTGAATTAAAGATTTTAAAACGAAAAACTATAAATTGACTTGTTTAATTTGTTTCTCAATTGTTTTGTCTCTGCACAAAGCTTTTATACACTTGCATTGCAAAGCAACCGGTGACACTTGGTCACTTGCAGCGCATCCACTAATCACATTCAAATTGTAAGACAACTTCACATAACAGTTGAATATGTGACGTTCAAGCATACTCTCCAATAGTGCGATAAACATTGAGTAAGAGCCACCTTTTTAGGTTCAACAACACATCGATCTTTCGAAATATCACTATCGTATGTGATTCACTGGCTCGACGGTTGCAATCTTGCGAACAAATCAGTACCAAATATTTCGAATTGTGACAGCCAATTTAAAATTGAGAATTTGTCGTGTATTGACTAATGATGAAACACAATTTTCGAATTTTAATCACTTTTCATGTTTTCAAACTTTAAAAATTCTATCATTTTTATATTGTCACTTCTCTTGTGTATTCGCGAATTTTCGTTTGCGCTTACTGAAATCGCGGCACTATAATACGCATCGAGAGTTTCACATTGGCAGCGATCGTCGTTCCTCGCGTCGTCAAAAATGCCACTTTCTGTCCCTCGATTTCTCGCTTCTTCGATTTCTCTTTTTTCCTTTCGAAAACTTCACTTTCCACGGTCGCCACGATTCGATTGCATTCTCTGGACCATGGAGATAATAATATCGGTGGATGACGTTCCGGTCACGCCGCAAGCAAACATGCGGGCTAGTACGCCGACACGCTGCGAATAATAACACAAGAAACGATTCAAGAAATGCTGTCTTGCTAGTTCCATTTATAACGGGTCGACGGCCTCCCACCTCATCTTCTCTTCTCGCTTGGCGCCGCCAACGTCGGGCTCGTCCGGATTACGAAAAAAGGCTAGAAGGCGCGCGCGCGATCGCCAATGCTACAGCAGAACAACACTCACTTGGACGGGCAGACGAATACTGGAAGCGAGAGGCGCGGAGAACTAGACTTCAAGCACCGCCCACGTGCTCTCCTGTAATCCTTGCGGCGCGCCGTTCGAATTTTTTTCTTTTACTGGATTTTTCCAAGACACGTTTTTTTTTGTCAAATGAAATCGTTGACAAATTACCGTTTTACGCAAACACTAGTAAAAATCATGTTAGAATTTTATAAAACTTGACATACATGAGAATCGTGCGCGCGGATATCCATGTATTTTCAGATTAGATGAGACATCGTATGGTTATCGAATTATTTTCACCAAACTTATGAGATTTTATATCGTTTCCATAAATGGTATCATGAATCAATTTATGTTTTGTTTCTTTATGTTTTTTAAGTTAGTAGATTAGATAACACATTTTAGTATCCATCATACATTATATTATATATCCGCAGAAATAACATATTTTTACCTTTACGGAATCAAAATCGAATATTCATGAATGATTCACATATAAATATTTAATATTTATTTATTGTATACATCATTTTTTAATATTTCAAAAACCTGTACGTTTGTTTGCAGTTTAAATATTTTATTATTAATAGAAATATAATAGATGCTCAAAATTTTATATGATATGAGCGAACCAAGCGAGAAGAGATTAAATTCAATATATAAACGAATACTATTTTGAATATTATTTAAGTATAATGAAATAAATAAATAAATAAAATTCTCATAAATCAATACGACCTTTAGAAGATCGATCATATAAATATTAAACAACGAACAGATGCTACTTATATTTATTCGAGAAAGTTGATTGTCTCCTTTCGATGATACCAACTGATTCGACGTAAAAAAATATGAAATGTAGAAAAATTCGCATAAATAAATACCTGTATTCCACTTGTAATAATAAATTCACTCGATAAAAAATTTCCCAAATTTGTTGCCTGTTATTTAATTAATTATTGCTCATATAAATTTGATACTGTTTACAGTGTCAATAATATGTGAAAAGAAACAAAATCACTGATGAAAATATACGAACGAGAACGAACAAACATATAATACAAAAAACCTTTATACCGAACTCACCGAGCGTTCGCCGGCGAATGCTCGAGTCTGAGCGCTTCGCACTATCTAATATGCACTCTCCAGCATACCCACTTGAGTATGGCTCGATCACGGCATGGCGTACCGCTTCACAGTACAAGGTGACTGCCGTGTTAACAGGTAAGCGTAGACCGACACACGAGCACTAGTATGCAAGCGCATGTCCATTAATGCAAGTAACTACGCAAGCGCTTACTTTTATAAGATAAAATCTACTGCTTCGAATTATTATATTGACATTATTAATTTGAAAAACATTTCTTATTAAA